AACAAACACAGATTTATATAAAACTAGACTACCCGTTATCTAGTTAGATAACTGTGGGTTTCGGGGGGTCATAAATAAATGACATCACGTCTGCCAGCACTTTTCATCCCAAAATAACCAGACCCCACATTAAAAAAGACGTTTTTTATATTTTAAAAACTCTACTAAACTCTACTTCACCTGCCCAGTGCCCCGCCAAGTCTCAGACATGTTTGTATTTTTAAAAAAAAACGATTCCGGCGGAGCATGGCTCTGACCACACTATCACTTCATATGCTGAGAACATAGAAACAGGTGAACTCTACTTCACCTGCCCTGTGCCCCGCGAGGTCCTAATAGTCAACCTTATCATTCATTTTTTTTTCTCTTTTTTTTTTAATATTTTTTTTTTTTACGTTATCATTCACATGTAGGCCTTAAGAAAAAAACTATTGAAAACATTGTTGTATTGTGAAAGTAATTATATTTACTATTACTCAAGTCATTGTTCTAAACTTTTATAAATAATGTGGTTAATCTACCTATGAATATATCAATAAATTAATTAACGGCTTTAAATTAGTTTGTAATTAACAGTGTGTTTAAGAAGGAATAATATTTACCACACAAAATCCTATTTTACAGCTCTATACATAATGCAGATTCTCCCCAATAACAAATCAGAAAATCAAACAAACAAAAAAATGAGTTATCAAACATCACTATTCAGTCAAAGTTAAGCCATTGTTCTAAAATTTTAAAATGAATGTGGTTAATCTACCTAAGAATAAATCAATAAATTAATTAACGTCTTTAAATAAATTTGTGATTAACAGTCTGTCTGAAAACAAAAATTGTTCTCTACCTACACACTATTTTACAGCTCTCCACATAGAGTAGAACCATTTACAATAGTCAATCAGACAAATAAATATTCAAACATGTAAACAAACTTGAGTTTTAGTAGTATACTAGAATACCTGTCATCCGTTGGATAACTGTGGGTTTCGGGGGTCATCCATCAAAAAACATCACGTCTGTCACTCAGAGGCATAGCGACCCTTCCCGGCGCCCGGGGACAAACTTTTCGATTTGAACCCCCCCCCCCCCGCAAGATTTCGATTTGCAACCTCCCCCTCAGACTTTTGATGTGCACCCCCCCCTCAAACTTTCGATTTGAACCCCCCTCAACCTTTCAATTTATTTTTCCAAACCATTTTGGCGCCCCAACATATGTCCCCTCCCCGCCCCCCTTCCCCCCCCCCCCGCCTCCCCTCCCCCTCCCGCCCCCCCCCCCCCCTCCTCGCTACGCTACTGCAGTGTCACTTATCGTCACAAAAAACAGACCCCACATTCAAAAATATGTTTTTTATCTTTTAAAAACACCGAAAACACCGATTTCGGACTATCCCTTCATATACTGACGTCACAGGTGACCTACTCAGCTCTACTTCACCTGCCCAGTGTCCCGCCAAGTCTCAGACAACATGTTTTTATCGTTTAAAAAACGATTCCAGCCGAGCATGTCTCTGACCACACTATCCTTTCATATGCTTAGGACAAAGAAACAGATGAACTCTACTTCACCTGCCCTGTATCCTTCCAAGTTCAGATAGGCAATTTTATCATTCACATCTAAAAAAAAAAATTGAAAAAAAAAATATCATTGACATATTGGTCTAGAACCTGTGCCACCCGCATGAGAGCCGGCTACACTACCAACTTAGCTATTTACTCGTGACGTCACAAGTGAATTTTTATACTATACTTTGAGTCTCCTTATGCAACTTGATTTACGCGCATAGATCTAGATCTAAGTCTAGTAGTAGTAACTTTCAAATTAAATTTTATCTTAAATTAGCCAAACAAAGATTTATATAAAATAATTAAGGCCTGAAATAGATTCCAGAGGAATTAAGGCCTGAAATAGATTCTAGATGTAGAATTTACATTAAGTCTAGATCTAGAATTTACATTGAGTCTAGTGACCTAGATATAGGCTAGATCTATATCTAGGCTAGATTCATAACTAATTATCTTTCCTTCGACAGCTGATCTTTAGATCTAGAGAAATTTATTGTAAAACTAAATGAAAAAAGACAGTTGAAAATTGATATAAGTGTTGGAACGTAATAAATACAGCAAACGGACGTATTGTTAAAGTTAAAGCCGACAGAAAATTAGCTTTAGAACGCGTTAAACTTTTGAATGGGAACACAATTTTCTTCGATAGACGCCGCCATTTTATTGTACTAAAGAGTAAACAAAAAACTGTGACGTCACGGTCCCGCCGAGTGTAGTGGTCGTTCTAATCTTTTAAAAAAAATAGGGTTACTCTACGTATGAATAAATCAATCAATTAATTAACGTCTTTAAATAAAAATGTGATTAACAGTCTGTCGGCATTAAAAGTTATTCTCTACCTACAGACTATTTTACAGCTTTCCAGATAGAGTAGAACATATCACAATACTCGATCGGACAAACAAAAAAACAAACAAATGAATATTCAAACATGTAAACAAACTTGACTTTTAGTAGTATAATAGATAGATAAATAAGGCCTGAAATAGTTTAGTATATATATTTTAATTCTAGATTTTAGATGTAGAATTTACGTTAAGTCTAGATCTTGACATAGAGTTTACGTTGAGTCTAGATCTAGATTCTAGTTTTGCCGTACTCTACATCTAGATCTAGAACCTAAATAGATATTAATAGATAAATCCCATGCATTCTCGAATTAGATGATCATTGAAGCTAAACAAAGACTTATATAAAATAATTAAGACCTGAAATAGATTCTAGATGTAGAATTTACATTAAGTCTAGATCTAGAATTTACGTTAAGTCTAGTAACTTAGATCTAGATCTAGCTAGATTCATAACTTTTTCTTCCTTCGACAGCTGATCTGTAGATCTAGAGAAATGTATTGTATAGGCCTACTAAAATAAAAAGAACTGTTAAAAAATTGATAATAGTGTTGAAAACTAATTCAAATAGCAAACGGACGCATCGTTAAAGCTATAGCCGACAGAAAATTAGCTATATAATGTGCTGAAGTTTTGAATCGGCAACAAAATCTTCGATGGAAGCCGCCATTGTTGATGTAAAAAGTAAATACATCATGTGACGTCAATATTCACTCTAAGTAAAGTCATTGTTCTGAACTTGTGTAATTAATGTGGTTAATCTACCAATGTATAAATCAATAAATTAATTAACGTCTTTAAATTAATTTATGATTAACAGTCTGTCTGAAAAAGAAAATTGTTCTCTACCTACATACTACTACATACTATTTTACAGCTCTACACATAGTGCATATTCTCTCCTGTAACCAAACGGACAAATAAAAAAAAAAAAAAAAAAAAAAAAAAAAAAAAAAAAAAAAAAAAAAAAAAAAATATTCAAACATGTAAACAAACTTGAGTGTTGTAAAATATAGATAATATGTATTAATATTGCCCCAATGGCATCTTTATAAAAATTTGAGGATTGAGCAGAAAAAAATGCCCTTTTAAATAGTTTTTTTTAGATTTCCTAGTCTTCATAGCCTGGTTATTATACATGCTTTCCTTATATCAGTATAGCTTTTCCTTTATAACACTTTCACTTTTACTGTCTTATAAGTGTAGACCTACTTTATAGTCATCACATAAGTAGGTTAAGAGTCTCTCACTGTAAGTCTTCGTAGGGTGGAGAAGGTGGTGGACTAAATAGAAAAATATGTAACATTTGCATTGAAAATATATATTAACCAGTATCCATCCTGGACATTTAAGTGCGCCACCTTCTGGAAGTTTCAAACTATCTGCTCTTGGAGATAAATGTCTGAAAGAAACACTCCCCAAGCCAATCCCCTAAAACAATTTTCTCTAATTAAATCTTCATATATTTTACTATTGGGTTTTGTTTATTGTAGCGGATAAAATGGAATAGTGCTTGAGAAAAAAGGAAGAAAAGTGTACTCGCTCATTCTAAGGATTGGAATGGAAAAACAACAACTGGTCAACTTATTTTACACTATTTTCTCAGAATCGTGTAGAATAATCGCGTGTATTGTTGACCCTTATAATATAAAACTAGCTGCATACCCGTGCTCCGCCACTGTGAATCTTTTTTAAAAGTTCCAACTTGGGAACAGAAGAAAACTAAAGTGCAAAAAGAAAAGAAAACACAAACACAACACAAACCCATTGCAAACACAAACGCAAAAAAACATAAACAAAACCACAAACGCTACACACAAAAAAACCCGACAAAAACAATGCAAACACAATGCAAGCGCAAAAAAAAAAAACACAAGCGAAAACGTAAATGCATAACATAAACACATTTAAAGGCATACATAAACACATAGTGCTCACAGTCTAGCTGAATTGCATCTAGCCGGGGCGCCGCCGGAACCGCCTGATTCAACTTGGTAAACGACTATAATACCCTTACTTATCCATAAAAAAGCAACAAAAGGCAATATTTAAAATATCTGTATTTAACAACCACGGTTTATTTTATCAATCCATGCTAATTATAATATTCTAACAATAACGTCCTGTTGAACGTCCACAGAATTTGCATTAACATTTTAAAACATTAGCTTGAGTTTATTTATTTTTAAATTACCTCGCTTGGTAAAATTATAAAAGATATTAATTAATTAATTTAAAAAAACTCTACTGTTACTAAAATGTGTGCAATTTTTCTATTAATCTAAGCAAAAGTATTAGTTGTCATCGTTCCGTTTAATATGTTTTAGCAAAGTGCGAGTATTTAATATTTCATTTACGTTATGCGAAAGAGTAAAAGCAGTGTCAACTATAAAATAAATTTAAGTCGTTATATAAACGAACCCTACTCTATCAGTCATAATAAGCCATTGCGATGCAATTTAAAAGCACTGCATGGTTCGATGTTTACTTTTATGGTTCTAAAATCTATAGCGATGTCGGACTGACATTCTACCAGCAGCGTTATATTATAGATACCGCGTAGATCTACCGTCAAACTTTAGGGAGCGCTATTGTTTCTTGACGTTACAAAACATGGATACGAACACTTCCTTGAACTTGCTGCTCATCTTCAGGTAGACGAAGATGTTGGCACTGGAGTTGATGGCCTCGAGGTTGAAGCCAAAAGTCGAACAGAACAGGAACAGGTTCTGATACCTGCCCCCAACGGTATAGTCTGCAACGACCAACATGCCGATCTGGTTCATTGCAACTGGGGTGAAACTGAGGATAAATATCCCTGAGATGAATATCACCATCCTGACGACTTTTCTATCCCTTGAGGATACGGCCTCGTTCTGGTTAGCTGACGACGTAGCGTTCCGCCATTTTGATTTCTGAGTTATTTTTACAACAAGTCCTGTTGTCAACACAGCGACAATGAAAAAGGAAGAAAGTTGTAAAAATGAATTGAAGTACAGGGATATTTTTTCTAAGTCGACGCCATCTTGAATGTAGACGATTGTGAAGAGTGTTCGGTTTTGTTTAGAGCTGAACACACGGTCGATGTGTATGGCGATGTAAACGGGAACGACGGTTAACATTAACACGATAAAAATCACGATGACGATGATGGCGGTGCGTCGCGGGGTGAGGATAGCCTTGACTTTGAGCGGGAAAGCGATGCACAGGTACCTCTCGAACGAGATGAAGACGGTCAGCCAGCTAGTGATCCGCGTGAAGCAGATGTGAGGCCAGCCGGCTGTGATGTGCTGTATGCCAACCAGGTCCACCCGCTCTAGGCTGTCAACCACGAGAGGGTTGTAGCACAGGCTCATCCATATCAGAAACACCAACCCTCCTGTATCAGCCACTGCCAACCCGACCAGCGGGATGTTGATGGGATCCTTAAACCCCTGTTTTAAAAAGACGGCGATGGTGACGAGATTCAGGACGACCCCGGTGACACTAATGATCCCAAGCAAGAAAGCGTAATTAACGAGTGTTACAGTTTTAAGCAGATCATCGCTCACTGGGTCTAATGAGACAATGTCCAGAAAATGTAAGTCGTTTTCGGTGAGTTCGTTTTTTCCTTCAACAGTGCTCATCGTTTGAGAGTTGGATAAAGACATTGTTAATCTAATGGACATTACAGTACGTTAGGACACTACATATCAGAAACCTTTATAGTCAAATGTGAAGTACACAAGAACTTAAGTTTGATTGATTTTATAATAATCCAATTATCAAATATACCCAGAGTTTTTACTGGACAAAGAGATGAAATCCCCCGTGCTATTTCTATAACTATTGATACGATAATTTTAACAATGATCTATTATAAAGCATTGAAATAATGGTTAAAATTAAAATCTTGCAAAATATCGACGTTAAAATGTCTAAGTTTTCTCGTGTTCACGAGTTAAGTTTAATATTCAACAATTATCCTACGATAGCTGGGATCACTGACTTGTTTCATTTCTCCTGTAGGTCCCACTCGAACAATTATAGCGGCGTTTCATTAAATTGCAGAACATTAACTACTGTCAGTAATGGAAGATGATTGCATTTTTTCCTTTTAACGCAAGGTGTGGAAGATCATAAGGCGGGGCTGTGAAGAAAAATAACTCGCCCATTTTAGTATTTTAATTAAATTTAGGATCTTGGGTATGGGCTGGGGAGAGGGGGAGTAAAAACGGTTATGCTACTAAAAACGCGGGTCAATGTCTTACATCTTTCATGGTTAGATTAGATTAGTAGGCAATCGAATTGACGGGTGTCCTAGTTAGAACTTAATCACCACACTTAGGTGCTTCTTAAAATAATTGCACTGAATGCGTCATGCGGTAGCTTAAATTGACAGGTGGATTAAATTAATTTCAATAGTCATAATGAAACGCGGGGTGGGGGGGGGGGGGGGAAGAGGGAGATAGAATAAGTAGAAGAAAGGGGGAAATTATAACCTAGACTGCAGGTGTCAAAGAGGCCCGGAAATTTTTTAAAAGGGGTCCCCGAACCCCAGAATAAAATTTTAATTGTGCGTTTTTCTTCCATTTAAGCCTAACTTGGAAATGGTATACTGTAGAAACATCAACACATTTTTTTAATCAAAACACTAATAGGACTATTACAGCATAATTCCTGGAGGTCAACCTGGACCTGTCGTCCACCCCTGCCTAGGCTTACAATAACTTATGAGTTTTAAAGTTTGATAGTCATAACTTCAAAAAATGTATCTCACTTGACTCGTTTTTTACTTTCTCGTATACAGAGTATAGAGGAAGTATTGTAAGCTTGCACAAAAATAACATGAAATTTGGACAGTTTTCACCGTTTTACACCTCAGTACATCATAACATACGGAGTATAGGGGATTTATTTTAATCGGACAATTATAAATCCAGAATTTATTACCCCCCCGTAGTGTTATATTAGAATATTCGAGAAAGTTTAGGGGAGATCACTCCCGGTTTATTTTATATACTTTAATATGTTCGATGCTTCCGAAACAAAAATGTGTAGATTTCGTACAACATTATTTTGCCGAATTCGCTTTAATATATCCCTTGATTAATATGGCTGGTGCATTTACTATCGTCGTTTTTAGAGACATTACCTGATCTATATTTGCATTTGAAAATTACAATATACACATCTATATTAATAGAGTGATTATGTCCCCTACTATAGTTCTCTTGTCTTAATATTCAATTTGCCATTTTGACAAATGTTGTTTTGAAGGGATTACGAAACAAGTAGTGTTGCGATGTTTGCTTTTTCTTGTGTTGTGAGCATATTTTGTGTTGTATTTTGTTTTGTGTGATCAATTCCATTTGTGTGATAAATTGTTTTGTGTTTTAGGCCTACCTTGCGTGTTGTTCTTTTTTTTTTCTTCAAAGATTATTTTTTGAATGTATTATACACCGTAGCGATGCAATGACATATAGCTTGTATACAGACACACACGTATGAAATATGAAATATAAAGATAAATATCTGTTTATTGATATTTTGATAAGACTTCATTCACCAAACGCAACTTACATTTTTTTACGTAATTTAATAGGAGGATTATTTATCATGAATGATGTTCAGCTAATGAACTGTGAAATATTGCCCTTTAACTAATCAGCTACGAAACAATGGCGTTTAACTAATCAGCTACGAAACAATGGCTTTTAACTAATCAGCTGTGAAGCTGGTTTCTTTTTTTTTCCGTCCAACATTTGCTTACATTAGTCCTTTATTACTCAATTTTTTTCATACAAGATGATCAAATTATCATTTACAGGTAGAGGTTGGTCGATGCCTGCGTCTCTCAGACACGACCTGACCATCTCCTCATCAATGTTTGGACCAAACGTTATCAACAGCACCCCCTTCTCTTGTGACAACATCCGGATCCGGTGCACATGTCTGCTTATATGGGATCGTATGGTGACTTCGCCTATAAAGTCTATGGCGTATAGATCAAGCACATACAAGAGACCTCGGGTTCCATAGAAGTGAAATGAGAACGAAAGCATATTTATCGAAGCCAACATCTTCTTATCAAAGCTCTTCACTCGTTGATTTTGATTTACAATCTCAGTCGAAGCGAAGACTTCTTTTCCTTCACCCAAGAAATGGCGGATATTGACTTCATTGCACTTGTACGGTACATAGTAGTTGATAAGCATTTTCATCGGAAACAATCTCTTCATGATGTCATCAAGCTCGAACAGCTGTTTGATATCCCGGTAAGCCATTGGCAAGACAGAGGACTCGACTTCGTTTTGAAAACTTTTAAAATCTTTGGGATCAAATATAAAACTCCGCTGGTCCTGATAATAGTACACAAAAGCACATACATTATTTATTGCAGTGCACATTAATTGGTGACTTCGTCCTGGTATTTAGGGGGTTGGGGTGATGAGACGAAAGTCTTATTTTAAAAAGTTTGATTATATTATAAAAGTAATTTAAAAATTGATTAAGAGGGTGGGGGAGAGGGAGGAGGACGGCAGTGTTCCCCGTGTACTAATTAATCCGCATACTATACATTTGTAGATATTACAAAACAACTCTACCTTTCGAAAACACTCACGATAACCTGATGTCACTATGGGCGTGTTCGTAGCTCTTAGGATACGTTGAACCTCTGGGAAGTATGTTTTCTGAATAGCTTCCAGTTCTACCGAAAGTTGATGAAATATCCCACCACCCCTGTACAACGAATGAACTCGCCCAGCCCTCTTGACTGCAACTTTCCCGCCATCAACAAGATGAAGCATGTAAAATCCAACCTGCAACAAATTAAACGCCAATTGTTGTTCATGATAAAAATACACATGCAGTGATCTTTGCTGTATAGCGTAGTATTGTATTGATATTAAATAATATATCATCCTCATTCTCACAGCACCCTGACGATACTAATCCAAATTTTAAAAACGTGTTTGCTAAATTAATATTATATTACTAGTAATCATTTCTTTGACTATTTCTAGCCGGAACCGGAAGTAATTTTGTTCTTATTACACAAATGTTAAAAATATACATCTTAAGATAAAAAATTTGCTTTCTGGCAATAAGAATTTGGAACCATTTGGAATCAACTTTTCATGTCTATTACATATTCAGTTATTAAAATCGCGGTTCGAGACCGCATATGGGTGTTCATATCTGAGGTGTTCGTAACTCGAGGTGTTACTTTCTGAAAATGCTAGTAACTCGGGGTGTTCCTCTTAAATGGTGTTCGATACCAGAAAGTTTTGTTTCTGAGTGTTCTCAAACCATGGTGCCACCCTGTTTATTGTGTTATTAAAAAAATTATAGAATGAAAATGTTTTAAGACATCTTGTATATTATAAGTTTAATAAGTTAATTAAAATGAAAACCGTAATCTCTTCGAAGAGAAAATGCTATCAGGTTTTTTGTACTGGTCGCTTCTGTTCTTCTGTTCTCACCAGGATTATCCTCCACCCCACTGAACGCAGGGTAATCTCGTAACAAACAATCCAGTAATCGGCTTGACGGTAGGGGTATTATAGATAGTTAAATCATGATTTATTGTTCTTAACAAAGAATGATGTAATGGGGCGAATCCCGATGGTAATTCAGTTCTATTGCTGGATGTGGTGGGTTTGGGATCGAGTCAGAAGGGCCAATTTGTCCACGTAACTTTGGTAAACCTTGGCTCCAGACGGGGAGCCCTCAATACCCTCCTCTAGCTTGCACACAGCTGATGGGATGACAGGTGAAAGTCGCGTTCTACATCGCGCCACAGCTACAGCAACTGAATAACTCTACTTCACCTGCTTCGTAGACAGTTTATGCCAAAAAGGTACACGGGCTGTTTTTATTTTATTTTAGTATATAATTTAAACTAATGATGTCTGGGTTCGTACCACGCGACCTTTAACCTCTGCCACTATTGCATATACGTTAGGGTCGCTGAGAAAACTGTGGTAGAAGTGAGGCAGATAATCCCTCCCGTTGTAGACATCACCCATGGCAACTACATCTGCATAGTCTTCTAAAGTTGCCCTTCTCAAAACAGCCCGCTCTTGGTTACGTGACATAGTGCTCCTGGAGAAACAAAATTACGAAACTCAAATAGTCAAGGTGAAAAGCTAAGAATTTTTAAAAATTCCTTATCAATTAAAAGTGATACACATACACATAAATAAAAAAATATAAAATCTTTGTTTTGTATTTAAAAATCATTGCATTATAAATTTAAATAATCTTTGTTCTCTTTATGTTGCTAGTTTTTAAAATTCTATAAACGAAATAAATGTCAATTAAATAATATCAACATTTATTTTTGCTAAAATTCCACACGGCTGTTTAGATATTACTATTACTATTAATATATATATATATATATATATATATATATATATATATATATATATATATATATATATATATATATATATATATATATATATAACTAAAAGTATAATGTGTATATTATTATTTTAAAACATTGTTAATTTGGTTTTTGTTTTTCTGTTTCGCTAGATCAGAGCATCGACACTATGTGTAGGAATGTAAAATACGTATTTACGTAGAGAAAATACTCTGTTTTGTCCCCAAATGTTATACACATTTTTATTTAAAGACGATCATTAATTAATAGATATAT